TAGTGTTTCCATCCTGGAACAGACAGAAAGAACCAAACGGTTGTTTACCTCATTCAGCATTCGGAGAAACCCTCTGCGTAGGCCCGAGAGCAAAATGAATTATGCACTAAATGGACCTGGCAACCGTGTGTGCTGCTGAAGCACGAGGTTTCAGCTGCGGCAGCTTTCCGGAGGGAAAGCCATCCATCCGGGAATGCCCCTCTCCCCCCAGCTCCATCCACAGCCCAGCACCCGAGGAGGATGCTGCCTGCGGAGTCCACACGGGGAGGATGGGAAGCCCAGCTCCCTGCTACTCTGCCTTGGGCAGATGGGGAGGGAAACACATGCAAGCCCCGAGGAACAACCTCTGGGGCTAAAAATGGTCGGGGCTTTGGTTCCTGGAATTCTGATTTCGCAACAGTTTCCAGCTCACAGGTCAAAGGCCGAGGCTTGCTGCGACCAGCTGCCCTGGCCGCGTTGCCGAGGAAAACGCAGTTCTGCTGTTCCGCGTTTGCCATCCTCGCCGCTCTGCACCCCAGGAGCGAGGTGAGGAGGCGAGGCTCATGTTATTTAAGCAAAACGGCTGTCTGCAACCTCAAGCGCAGGACGGCCCCAGCTTCAAGGGTGAGCACAAACATCGGCTTCGCTCCAGGAGCAGCAGCAGTTGTCCCAGAGGTTTTCTTCATCGGCTCTACCATTTCTGCTTGGCTCCTGCAGGGAGGGCGCAGGCTGCAGTGCCAAGGGCTACGGCTCCCACGCCGAAGGCTGGCCACCGCCGAGGCCAAGGCGGACACTGTCCAGCTCTGAGACACCTGCCTCAGTGATACAGGTTACTAAGGAACTTACTGGTGGTCGCTATTCCATTTTTCTTTCTTTACGTTTGTAGTGGCTGGCATTAAGCTCTCTGTGCCAGGGCAACTGAACAGCAGCAACATGGAAATCCAGGAAAGCACAACAGTATTCTGGACTGATGGGCAGCTTGGTGAATAACTAGCAATTTCTTGGCTTTCTGTCCGTTTTGATGTGTCATTTCTTTAGTTTTCTGACAAGAAAAAAACCCCCTAAGACCATTCTGTTATCATTGCCAACAGTGATTTCTCCCCTCGCCCTGGAAGGGCGGCTGCCCCCTTGCCAGTCGCTGTGCAGGAGCAGCCCCTTCAGGGGGGAAGCACAGCAAGAACCAGCGGGCACTACCTGCCTCTCCAGAGGCGGAGATGGAGAAGCACAACGGGATTTTTTGTTTTGGCACAGCTTGTCACCAGGGCCGATAAATAAATCAAACCGACCGTGCTGCAAAGATCTCCTCTTAAGGAGAACCGATGGCTGGTTCCCCACCGAGTACAGGTATTCTACTGGCAGCACAGAGCAGATAATTCATCCAACACGCTTCGGTGGGATTCCCGCTATTTTCAAATTACTCGCAGACTGAGGCTGTTTAAAGCGAATCCTCGGGGCTGCTTGTTCACAGGTCCTCATCCAACGCTTGGCACAAGGAAGCCTCTCTTACAGCAGCGACTTTGGGCACTCTGTGGTGAAGGAAATGACACAAACGAGGTTTTTTAACAGATTCTGACTACTGGAAGTCCAATGCCTCATCCTCCTTGCAGTAACACAGCTGCCTCTGACCACACTTGGATGCAAGTTATTAAAAAGCTTGTGTCTAGCAACAAAGAGCTGCAGAGCTTTTCTAGGACAATGCCTCCTGCCTTCTCAAACCCACCAGCTGCCACCGCAGCTCATTTATCCTGCCAGCCGCAGCCAGGCTTCTCCATGCTCGGCTCAGACCAGAGCGCTGACGGTATGGGGGAAGCTCCCCGCTTCCAGGTGGATTGACGGAGGGGCTGCCCCAAGCAAAACACTTCCCGTTAGGTTTCTTGTGCTGACTGCTGTAACCTAACTGCACCAGCTGAAGGAGGAGGAGTGCGATGAGGAAGGAGCAGAGCGAGGAAAGAGCCATGCAGTATCTCAGGGCAGCTGGTGGCGGTTCAAAACCACTGCCGAGAGCAGGGACACAGACCCGTTCCAGGCAAGGGAGAAGCACCAAGGGGCTCAGCTTGCAGGCACTGGGGAAAGAGCAGCTGTTACAGCAGAAACACAGGGACCTGGAAAAAGCAGACAGTAAGTCCCTTTCTATGCACCAGGCAGTTTTCTACAACTGATTTAGACTTAAAAACCGGTGACCAGAAGGGGCCCACACCAGACGGATGGGCACAGGGATGTCTCCAGCGGAGCGAACTCTCCTTCCCCAGCCATCACCAGTGCTGAGGGCAGGAGAAGCATTTGCGCAGCACACAGACCTACCCACTCCGTACGGGTTTCAGTCGCACAGGCCTTCACTCTCACTTGTGAGCGTGAAATTGCTGAGGAAACTCAGGTGATGAGGCCAACTGGTGCTGCCATCAGCCACTGGGAGACTCCAGAGGCTACAACCAACCTTGGGATAGGAGATTCCCACAGGGAAGGTGAAACCCAGCAGAATACAGCTGCTGAAGGCTTTCATCTTGCAGATACTGGGGAAAAAAACGCCCAAACAGCCCATTTTCACCACCCGCAGCCCTGCAGCAGCGAGGCTGAGAGGCAACACGCAGATCACTGTAGCTTCTGCACCTCCAGCTTCCCTCACTGCAGCTGCTGGTCTGCAGCAGGACATGGCAACTGACAGCACTGGCTCCCCGCCCCCCCCCACCGTCCCTTTGGGAGAAGCCAAAGGCACAAAAGAGAAGGGACTAAAACTGCCCTCTGAAGGTGGCAACGGCAGCCGTGGGTGGTCCTAGAAAGTGGTGCTGAACCCAGGAACCATTTCCTAGGGCTGAGGCACCGAGAAGGTGCTTTTTCTTCAAAAGCAAAGCCAGTGAGGAAAGGAGCTTGGATGATGAAGTCGAACTGCTTATCCAAAAAGCTACAAGTCTGGAGCAGGATTGCCTCCGCAAGGCCTGAGGATCCCCGTCCAACAATTCCTTGTGCAGGAGCGATGCTCCCGCTTGGGCTGGGCGCTACAGCCGGGGCAGAGAGCGGATCCTGGCAAGGGCAGAGCCCAGAGACTGCAGCCCTGCTCCAAAGCAGCTGGACAGGAACCTTGTCGGAAAGGATAGCCACCTGGGGATTTTAGTTTGGGAATACCAGACCCTCCCCAGAGAGATTCAAGGTGAAAAAAACCATGGCCCAAGAGCAACCGTTACGAGAGGCTCCTGAAGAAGTCTGTGCTGTGTTTTGAAAGTGTCTGTGTTGATGAGGCCAAAGTGTCACCTGCTTTTTCAGGTGACGTGCTACAGAGTTTGTAGGATCCTTCCTGCGCAGATAGTCTTACCTGAAAATACACTTCTAAAGGCCAACAGAGTCACGTATCGTTTCCACCTAATGCTAAAGGAAGACAGAAAAAAGCATATTTACAGCGTCAGCACTTTGGTTGAGAGAACTCTGCATTGCGACCCGACGACGCGGCCCGCCCGGCTTTTGGACCTACGCACAAAACCCGACGTGAGCCTTGCGCACGCGCCAGCCGGCCGGAGCTACGCCGGCACAACCGAGTCCAAGGCGCCCAGCCTCACAGCATCAGGCTACTGAGGCAGAACACACCCTGTATTACCACGACATGGCTTCACACGTGTAACAGAACACCTCCCGGCACCTGGCACATCACATTCTCCTCCAAGGATGCCCCAGACCCAAAGGAGTTGTCAAGCACCACTGTCACCCGCCCTACCGGGAGGCAGGGTATCTAGAGTGTTCCTCTACAGGAACAGGCAGCGCATTAAGCACCGGAGAGAGTGCCCTAAGTGCCACCTCCAGATCCAAGGCCAGAAGGCAGCCGGCAGCTCTCCCTCCCCAGCAGGGCTCAGCGCCTGCGCCAAGGTCGTTTTGCACAGGCTTGGATTAGCGAGGGGAACGCCAAAATCTCCACATCATGACAGTTCACCTCTGGAGAGTCCTACGCACCTGAAGCCCTCAGATTACACTGCACTCCAAGGTTTTCCTACTCAAATAATTCCATGTCCCATTTACCAGCGTAAGGAAGTCACTTTGTTTCTTTTCCACTGAACCGCAGTGAAAAGAGGTCACCGTTTTATTCAGCATCGCAGTTACAGAACAGTTGTCTGTTTCTATTACTAGAAAGAATTTATTAAAATAGTCCTGAAAGACATCTTATCTTTTCTCCAAGGATTTCAAAACTACGCCTTTTCATGCCAATTCCACAGAGTCACGGGTGGGATCGGTACTAGTCGGTTACAGCCGCTGTCAAGGCACAAGCTCAGCTCTGCACATCCGCTGCAGCTTGTATCGCCAGAGGGAGGTGCCGGTTCCGCCTTCACTTACAAACGCATAATCCCTTGGCCACAGGTTGCACCAGGAGAAATTAACGTTAAACACAGACTACGAAAGGTAAAGGATTTATTTCCGATATGATCTGTAGAGTTAAATTAAAAGCTACTGAATACTTGATGCAGTAGATGAACATAACCTTAGTACTTACTTTCTAGCAGTTTATTTAATGGTTGGAAGTGTACAACACGAAGTAGGCCTTACGTCGGATATTGTTCGGTTCCGCTTATTGTTAGGAGAGTAAAATACAGTAGCCATCCCTTTAGATTATGTTGCAACACTGATCATGTGCCTTGATAAAGCAGGAACAACGGTTCGTTAAATAAATGGTGATGACATAACACGTAGGGAAGACTTTGGATTGTCTATTTAAAATGTCAACATAATAGGCAATTAAGAATAAAACTTCATTTTAAGTGCACTTCCACATGCTTTGTTTGTAATAGAGCAAAAACTTCCTATCTCTTTTTTCCAAACACTTCACTCCCTACTCTAAAACTGTCCAGTTGAAAATGCACTTTCCCCAGTAAACATCCTCTTTAAAAAAAAAAGTAACTAAAAGTTTCTACCCTTCCATATGCTAAGAAACGTCTCCTAGTTAAAAACACAATTTATTACAAGACATGTGAAGACAACATATAGTGAAATGAATTTTAATTGTTGTGCTGTGGCTAAAGTAAAGTTCTCAAGGCTGCAATTTAACATTCCGAGTTCTCCCTTCCATCTTTATTGATTCTCAAGATTTTGCACAGAAACTCTTTGGGGGCTAGAACAGCAGTAATTGCATCACACTGTTTTCCAAGACTTCAAGTTTCAAAAGCAAACTCTTCAAAAAAGTACAGTTCTTGATTTGATTAGATACAGGGACAAAAATATAGCACATAACTTGAAGGTTACATGGTCTACAAATGATGGCAATATTTTCCTTGGGAGAGTACAGTTTGTTTTCTTGTAAATACTCAAAAAGGCTCAACTTCAAGCAGTAATAAACACAAGCAAAAGTGATTTAACCCTTAAAATAAATATTCAGGAAAACCTCTCTGTACATACAAGTGAAAGAATATGTAACACTTTCACGCTAAAAGAAAAAATAAAGATTTTGTTCATATAAGCAGCTGAAATCTGCTGTTCCAGCCCAATGTCCCCAGTTAAGAAGGGAGGCACAAACACAGGTGACTACTGTAGCTCACTATCTTATGGCCTTTTTGGACAGGGACATCACCATCGTTTTTTAAATCCCTTTTGTTGTTTTAGTTATTACAGCATGCCAAATCCTTTGGCATATGTGATGGCCTTCAATAATCTCTCTTTAAGCTTTTCTTTGCTTGAGTACTCCGGAAGCAAAAGTACATTAAAGCATGTATGAGATGTAGGTAACCTGCGGGGAAAACGAGAAAGAAGAATTCAGACCTGGGAACACACAGTACGAGCAAAGAAACACACTGCTACTTCCCAACTCCAAAAGGATGAATTCAAAAAGAATCCACTTCGCTGAAGGATTTAACTTTCAGATTTAACTTGGTTAATAAATTAACAACACAGAACTTGCTACCGTCCATCAACAAGCAAAAAGGAGAGGTTTTGGGGTTTTTTACCTCTCCGTGTCGGGGCCGTTTTTGGCTATGATCATCTTTAACTTCCCGAGTCCTCCCACAGGGGCTCTGTCTGTGCCTGTTGTAAACTGTAAGAATAGTCTTTTCTGTTCGTCTGTGAATGAATGGACTATTTCCCAGAATTCCCTATCAGGGAAGAAATCAAAAAAGTAAGTAAACCAAGAACTTTCTTTGGTAAGAATAAGACTTTCCAAGGTAACTAAACTTTGAAAGGTTAGTAATTCTAATCAATCTTAACATAGGCTTACAAGCTGCATTTCTAAACCAAAACCAGCAGTAATAATGTATTTACCAACCAGTGAGATTCTGAAGTTGAAATGAGAAATATTACCAAAACACTGCAGTTTAACTTGTTTTAGATGTTAATTCAGCTATTAAGTGATCTGCAAATATTCTTCTTTTACTAATCCCATTTCATAGAATCACAGACTGGTTTGGGTTGGGAGGGATGTTAAAGACCATCCAGTTCCAACCCCCCTGCCATGGGCAGGGACACCTTCCACTAGACCAGGTTGCTCAAAGCCTCATCCAGCCTGGCCTTGAACACTTCCAGGGATGGGGCATCCACAGCTTCTCTGGGCAACCTGTGCCAGTGCCTCACCACCTTCTCCGGTAAGAATTTCTTCCCGATATCCAATCTAAATCTACCCACTATGAAATCCTACGAAATCATACTGGCTCCCCTACCCTGTCCATTTAAAACCACCTTCAAACCCCACAGTAAATAAATGCAGCAGCTGTCGAAGGTTTTCTATCCTAGCAGTGTCTAGCTAAATAGCTGGCAAAGCCTAGAGGACCAAACATGACCCTTCTCTGAAGAGTTCTCCAGTCGAAGGGGACAAGAAGGTAACAACATTAGAAACATCTTCCCTCTTCCAACACATTAAACAAAAAGCACTGAACTTACTTGACTTTTAATTAGAGAAGCAAGTTCTACACACACAAACTATTCAAACAATTCAGTGTTGATGATTTTGCTGTGGGTTTGGTTTTGGTTTTTTTTAAACAGCAGAGCAGCAGTAATTGATTGAAACAGCCCTGTCTATACTGGGGATTATTTAACTATATGGTATGAGATAAATACAAAGCAAAACACAGGGAAAAATCCCCTTTTAAGCTTTACCAAACTTCTCTAAAAGCTACAGACCATGCTTATACTATCTGTGCTTTACTTAAGTGAAGCTCTACACAAGACACTTGCATCTCTAGTAGTACAAAAATACTTTACAATATTAAATTCATTTTTTTGAATTTATATAAAGCATATAAAGTGCTTTAAATACTTCAGAAATTAGAAAAAATTACCTAATAATAAGAGAGTCTCTTGTATAGCCACCATCATATTCTGTAGTATCTTCTAGTGCTTGAAAATCTAAATTCTGTAAGAAGATGACATTTTTTAAATATGACCACAAGTTATATACTTAGGATCAAAAAAGCTCACACTTTTTCTGGTGTACATTCAGGATTCTTACCCTACTTCCACAAATAAGTAATTCAATTTCCTCTGGTCTAAATAAATATTTCAAAGGAGATTCATTGGTCACCATGTGGAATCCTCTCCGAAAGGCCTTGAACTGCTTTTCTACTGATTTATTGAGTATATAGTCAGCATACAGATTGACAAATTCCTGTAAGGAAACAATCCCCAAAAACACCCTTAGTACTTTGACATACACTCCACCTGAAGTATCTCCCAATAATTTAAGACCCCAATGTACACTTAATTCCATAATTCAGATTATCTGGGCTCAGCTTCTAGTGGGCAACAGTAGAAGACAGGTCAAACATCACACCCAGAAGCTACGTTGGCAGCCACTTTCCTTAAAAAACACCACCACCGCTCCCCACCATCCCTCCCAGTCTTTTTTCTGCTTACAACTGCACTGTCTTATGGCAACTGTAAAAGGCTTTTTTAAACTTAAATTATAAGTGAGGCCAAATCGTTATACAGCCCTACGTCATTCTGCAGAGAGTATCTAAAAATCAGACTGCATTAAAAGAAGTTGAGTGTACCTTTCTGTTTTCATTCGTAATAGGAATTTTATCACCGTTTTCCTTTAAATCGTGCATCATTGGATTGCCAAAGAGATCAGTATGAGATATTTGAAACGTTATCATCATGTCGTCTTCCACACTTCCTTCATACTCCAGTAAGTCTCTCAAACTCTGGTAAAGAACCTAACAGAACAAGAAATACATGTCTGTCATAAATAAGTTTCAACAAATTTCACTGAGTAATACCAGACAACACAAAATAATCTGCCTCAAAAAGGGTGGTTGTATTCCCTGACACCAGTCACCTAAGATCTCCCATAACAGGCCAGACAAAGGTATTTTAAGCTCAGTGTTTGCAGAATCAACCAACAGCAGATATTAAGACAAAAGGTCCACGGCAACGAGCAGTAACTCAGAAGAGCCTACCAGTACCCAGGAACCTTACTAAATGCAAAGGACAGACCTGTAGCTCAACAGCCACTGATAACACCTTTTCCCTCTCTAACTCTATTGAAACTGTATTTACTTTTGGCATGTGTAACACGTTACTCTAGCAAGATTAACACAGACGTATTAGAATCAAAGAAAGCACTGTATTTTATATTAGATAAAATTCAGGCAGCAGGCTTTCATCTCCCGTGTTTTAATTTAAAACCCAAGCATTCTGGGAAGTAAGCTTGAAAACACATGGATGGGGCAGTCTTTAAAGTAAGAAAACATCAATGCACACACACAAACAAAATCAATCACGAGTTAGGTCAGAGTTTGTCAAGCGGAATCTGAAATTGCCTTCAAGAGTTTGCACTACTCGAAGGAGTAGACCGCTGCTATGCCTTAGGAAAAGCCCAAGACTCATTTTTTGGGGAAATCTACTTCTAGAAATAGGTAACAGCCTAATTTTAGAAATCTCTTTGGGAAGATACTACTATTCATAGTTTACGCTTAACAGTGCTAAGTGATATTAAGCAATTCAGGCAGCATTTAAAAAAAGAAAGGCAAAACAGAAAAAAGCTTTATGGATACCCCTATTGGTTGACTTGACAATTGTGCACCCTCCCAACCAGACGTAGTAAGAGGTTTTACTGCTTATGAATTTATTTTAACAACTACAGATTCTTCGCACAAGTCACTGCTATTTCACTTCCACTTCTGACAGCGATCTTGTGTTTAACTTAAGTTACTGCATGGAAAATGCATTCATCAACTCAAAAGAACGTAATGAACTTACAGGATGAGAGTCTGCCAGATCACGGAACGTTCCTTTTTTGCCCATTAGCTTCCTGTAGACAACCATTGGAAAATGTACATCCAGTATACAGTTATTGTAAATAGCCAGACCCAGTACTATGCCAATCAGTGTAAACTGACCCTCAGTTTCAAAAGAGGACGGATTAAACCAAAACAGTTTTGTTGATTCATCATACGTGAACATCCCTGTAAAAAAAAAAAAAGGATGTTGGACAATTATGGTTACGTTTCAATAAAAATGACATGTAAAACATACCAAGATAAACCCATTTGCCTTAGGAGGTCTAAAACACGTTTGGCTTAACTTTATACTGAATTTAATGGCAGAGAGAAGGTACCTACCTCCAGGAAATTGGAGCTGCTCGAAATAGTGTTTCATTACTACTAAGAGCAGGCAGGAGACCCACAACACGACATCCTGTGATGCCCACCGAAGCTGTACGTACACAGCCTTTCACCCCCTTCCACTCCTGAGGAAGCAGCAGCACATCGTCACCACAGATAGTAACTTTGATAAATACAGCAGCGCAAGGAAAGAATGCGATCAAAAACCACATGGATGAAATAATTCTGAAAAACTCCAGCTACCGTAAAGTGACAGCCTTTCCCCAAAGGCTTTTCCAGGCCAGTTCTAGCAAAGGAACAGATGCAGCCCTGCTACTGAATTGGAAGCTACGATGACGGAGCAGGGATTAACCATCACATATGAACATAAGAGTTAGATGCCTAAGAGATTTTTGTTTGTTTAAAAGGTACTCAACAAGGTCCACTGAGCTGCTGCAGCTATCCCAAGAGTCCCTTTCCCTTTTGGCTGCAGCAAGCCACTACCTTAGCTGGTCTGTGAAACCAGAGTTTGTGTACAGGCTACAACCATTTAAATGGGTCCTACGATAAAATCCACTGTTTACCTGACCAGAGAGCGAAGCAAGATAAATGCAAACCCCACAGACCTAAGGTGAGAGGAAGAGACCACCCTGGACAAGTACAGTGTGCCAGTGACATCCCATGACCTCCAGGAAGTACCTAAGGAAAAAGCACCCAGGCTCTGTCCTGCCCACACAGCGGGAGTTAGATGCAGGCAGTCAAGAACATGTGCTACATCTGCCGTAAGGATTTACCTTGTCAGCCCTTAAAAGGTATGCTTACATACAACACATACGGAGATGTACAAGCTGATTACAAAGCCACACACAGAGAGACACAAAATGACTCCCAAGACTGAAAAAAGATGTCACTTTCAGCCAAGAGATAAAACCTGAATTCTCATTCAATGTAAGGAAATGAACTTCCAACTCAAGACTCCTGGCTATTCCCCAAAACTGAAGATTATTTATCGCATTAAGGCACTAGGACAGGGAGCATGCAAGTAAGACTAACACATCAGGTAAGGCAACTGGAAATCAGAAAGGGATGAGCAACACAAGCATATTTAGGAGAAACATTAAATAGAAGCCTGCATTGCATTTTATTAATAGACTGAAGTAACTCCTGGATTCCTGGCACAATAAAAGCAGTTACTTGTGCTTTATGGAAGAGTTAAAATGGCCAAAACAAACTCCTCCAACAAGTGTTTAATAATGAAGGGCTAACAGGTTATCCAGATCTTCACCTGGCAACACTTAAATGCCAACTGCAATGTTTTAGCCACTGACCAAAATAAAGACTATAGTACATTAAAATCATAATAGAATACCAGAAGAAACTGGAAGTTGTGATAGGGGGAAAAGTGCCATATAGTGTTGCTAGGAATGGTATATGAAGTTATTCCTCTGAAGTTATTCCTTATTCCCTTTTATCATGGTGACTGTTGGCCGTAAATCTAATGTTTTATCTGAGTTACTGGCTCCTTTAACATAGTTTAATATGAACACACTTGAAACATAATGACAAATAAACTATTGCAGCAATAACCATCACTCTACACACACCTATCCGAGGACAGGCATTTTAAATTCCATTTACAGGGCTTCCTTCATTTTCTCTGGTAAATAAAGTATTTGCAAATCAACAAAAGTCACACTTGGTATATATGGTGTGTAAACTGTTGTACTGCAGTACATATTACAGGTGCATAAGAAAAAGACAACTGTGAAAACAAGCTACATGTTCTGCTTTACACACTTAATGACGAAAGCCAATAAATGCCTTTTTTCCCCCCAAACTTGATATGAATACAAAAAAGCATACATACCTTATTCTGAATACAGAAATTTAAAGCATGCATGCGCATCTAATCTCTTACCCATCTTTACACACAGGGAGCATACACACCCTGGCTGGATCTTAGCTGCATCAGGCTTCAGTTACTAAACAGGAGTACTTAAATGCAGGCATCCCACACAACTTCTGTTGTTAGATAAACTCAGGTCAGAATCGTATTTCGCACTGGAAATACAACTTTGTCAGTCAAAACACTAAGACTTGTTATTTTGCCATACTCCAATTTATTCCAAGTAACCTTGCCAATTCAGATTCCAAATCTCTCCAAGTTTATAGCCATTTTCAGAGTGAGCAGGACTTGCCTATAGACCTGTATCACTTGCTACAAGAACCGGTTTGTGTACGGTGAAGGACAAGTGCCAAGGTTCAGATTCTGTTACCGATTCTGGGGACTTCCTCTTTAACCCGGTCTAAATTAATTTCTGTGCTTCATCGATTTTGTAAGCTACAAAACCAAGAACAACTTTCTTTTTTAAAGGAGTTCAATAAATCCAAGTTAAGTAATGGCCATAAGCTGTTGAGCTTCTTTAATGGAAGCCATTACAGGAACTACAGTGTGACATATTTCACACAAACTATGAAATTAGTATAAGAACTTTGTAAGTCTCATTTCTATTTTAACACATTTTAAAACATTTTAATCCTTTTGGAGGCATCAGACAAGCTGCATATTACAAGCAGTATGTCCTTTCATGTATAAAGACAGAAGCATAGAAGACTGGTGCAGGCAGCAAGGATAAAAATAGATGGAATTATGACTGTTGAAACACAGATATAAAACTTTGGCTGTGATGTATCAAATCGCTCCTAGTTCTTAACTAACTACAATCAAATTTGACATTACTGCCACACTTGGGACCTGTACCCCTTTTAGATGAACTCATTAGAAGAACTGAGACTATCAGATTTTTTTAAGCTGGAGGAAGGGGAGGAAATAACTCAAAAACTCACCATAGTCCTACTCTGGTTTTATTGCAGAAGCTCTTCCTCTTTGGTTTGATTACTAATTCTAGAAGCTAATCACAAAGCAAAGCGAGGAGAAAGGTGAGAGAACAAACAAAGGAACCCTGCGAAGAAACCCTATGCTACTGATTTATAGCTAAACAAGCAATGGTAGCTTTCACTAACTATAGAGAGTCATTCCCCTCATCACTCTTCCTTAGGAGGGTGACTGATGACAACAGCGAGCCTCAGTGGGTCACATACTCTCATGATCACCAAGCAATCGGGACAGCTTCAGAGAAGCAGCAGCAGATGTAGAAAGGCACTGCATAAACAGAACAGCCCAGGTGGGAAGGGACCTTGAAAGACCACCTGGTCCAACCTTTCATGGGAAAAATCTGATAGATTAGGAAATTCTTAGAACACGTACCAATATCCGGATTGAAGATTTCTTCCACAACCAGTTGAAAAAATTCTTTGGAAACGCCTCCTTCATCTACCCCTTGCTCTCCTTCAAATTCAACGTACAGTTGCTTCTTCAAGTCTGCAGGATTTTCCATGGCAATCATCTCTAGCTATTGAGCGAACAGACAGAAGTACTGCATTAGTAAATCTGTTTACTAGAAGAGTCAACCGAGTATTGACTAATGAAATCAAAACTACCCTGCAAACCTAAGAAGGCAGCAAGCACAAGTCACAACAGTAAAATTTCAGAAACCAATAGTAACACTAAATCACTCTAAGCACGTATTAGTATTTGGGGATTAACACAGCAAGAAATTTACCACAGCTCTGATCTACCAGCCAATTAAGTCTGTCAGCCTTCTCCATTTCTACACATTTAAGCACTTATTAATACGTTAGCACCATGCTGCACAAAATTCACAGAAAACAGTATGAAAACAAGACGTATTGCTGGGATAATCAGATTAATCTGACAATGAAAAGAGACTGCAATCTGATCTAGGTGTTTGACAATGAACAGTTCTGTGAAAGGGCTACACAGATGTGTGATAATGTACAATGAAAGACAGAGACAAGCCTTTAACTACTAGTTCCATGTCAGAAAGAGCTGGGGAAAAAAGAAACAGAAAGACACTAATATTACAATCAAATCAATACCCCCTCATCTTGACCCTAATGAAGATGCCTTAGAAATCTCATGCTCTCACTTCCTCAGTGCCTTTAAAACTGCCTTGTGTCCTCAAAAGTGAAAGTTCAGTCAAGGTCAAGTCGAAGTTGTGATGCTTCACAGGAAAGGGTTTCATGTCTATATAAAGGTCATTACAGGTCTTTCACTTTCTTCCCACAGAAATGTATCTTCTCAGTAAATCAAAAGTTATGCAAGAATATTTTGCAGCTGATAAGAAATAGGCTGGTTAAAAGCGTGAACATACGGGTTAAACCTGTGCAGCATGAATACATTAAACTGTGGTGGTCTGACCCTGGCTGGAGGCCAGGTACCCACCAAAGCCCCTGTCACTCCCCCCCTCAGTGGGCAGGGGAGAGAAAACCTAACAAAAGGGTCATGGGTTGAGGTAAGGACAGGGAGGGATCACTCACCAGTTACCATCATGGGCAAAACAGACTCAACTTGGAGAAAATCAATTTAATTTATTGCCAATCAAATCACAATCCCCAGTCTCTCCCTTCCCAGGCTCAACCTCACTCCTGGTTTCTGCTCACTTCCTCTGAGCAGCACAGGGGGACAGGGAATGGGAGTTCTGGTCCGTTCATCACATGTTTCTGCTGCTCCTTCCTTCTGAGGGAGGCAGGACTGCTCACACTCTGCTCCAGCTCCTCTTGACTTCTTCCCACAGGCTACAGTTCTTCCCGAACTGCTTCAGCATAGGTGCCCCATGGGGTCACAGGTCCTGCCAACAAACCTGCTCCAGCATGGGTTCCTTTAACACAGGTCTACAGGTCTGCCAGGAGCCTGCTTCAGCACAGGCTTCCCATAGGGTCACAGCCTCCTTTGGGTATCCCTCTGCTCTGACAGTGGGTCCTCCACAGGCTGCAGGTGGGTCTGTGCTACCCTGTGACCCCCCATGGCCGCAGGGGCACAGCCTGCCCTCTCACCAGGCTGCAGGAGAACCCCTGCTTCAGCCCACCTCCTCCTGCCTTTCTGCGCTGACTTTTGGTGTCCCATGAGCTACAGTTCTGCACAAACTGCTCTGGCATAGGTCCTTTCTGTGCAATGCCATCATTCAGGAACAGCCTACTTCAGCCTGGGTTCCCTACGGCACCACAACCTCCTCCTGGCACAGCCACCTGCTCCAATGTGGGGTCCTCCCCAGGCTGCAGGCAGGTCTCTGCTTCCTTATGACCCCCCATGGCCGCAGGGGCACAGCCTGCCCTCTCACCATGGGCTGCACCGTAGGCTGCCGGGGAATCTCTGCTCCAGCGCCTGAAGCATCTCCTTCCTCAATGACCTGGGTGTCAGCAGGGCTCTTCCTCTCACATCTCACTCTCTCCAGCTGTAATTTGTCTTCCCACTTTTTTTTTTTTTTAACTCCCCCCTTCTCAAACACATAATCCCAGAGGCAGTACCACCGTCGCTGACGTGCTCAGCCTTGGCCAGCAGTAGGTCTGTCTTGGAGCCGTCTGGCATTGGCTCTGTCAGACACAGGGGAAGCTTCCCGCGGTCTGTCAGACACAGGAGAAGCTTCCAGCGGCTTCTGACAGAAGCCACCCCTCTAGTCTCCCAAAACCTTGCCACACAAACCCAATACATAAACTTAAGTAGCAAAGAAAATTCAAGAGCATTATAAGCCACAGACAGACCTGTACGTTCCCCTACCAATACCCAATTACTGGTGAGACTTGCCTCAACCTGGGCTAGCACAAACCCTACTTAACACGCCAAACCATTTCTTTCTGTTTCACTACCCTGCCTTATCCACACACACATGCCAACACATCTTTTGTGTCCCAGAATTTTACTACAGAAGCGTAAAGAAAAACAGAAACAGAACAGAGGATAAAGGCAGCAATAAGGACACCACCGATTCACAAAATGACACCAGCCACATTTTCTCCTGGCAGCTGCCAAGCCAGCCACGTAGGAAGCAGCACAGCAGGGGCAGACGGGTGACAGAGCTGAGGTGGTTAGCGTAATGGCTTTGAGGACTTTGAAACTTCATGCAAAAGGAGCACGTGGAGAAAGAATTGCTCTAAGTTGTATGGAAAACTACTATCAGGAAGAAAAAGAGTGTAACTCCATAGCATATAAAACTCAGTTAAAAAACAAGGAGGTGAGCAATGAAGACCCCAATAAAGAGAGGAAGTCAGATTAGCTGACTGACATAGATAACACGATTATCTGGAAAACTTAGTTATGTACTTCCTAAAGCATTTAGTATTCTAGTGCATATAATTTGCAGTGAACTATTTTTTGCACTTAAGGAGACCAAGTAACATTTGTTCTTTGAAATTCAGTGTTTCATCAAATACTTCTGCAGCAAAACCACGATACAGTTTCCCGCCCCCCCCCCCCGC